TTGTAGCCATAGCATTTCCATGGCTACTTAGTCCAGTTCAGTTTCTGGTCAATGGAAAACCAACGATGTTGATAGTGGTGGTTCAGTGATGATGATGTCATTACATGTCAAGGGGAGATTCTCTATTGTTAGAGATGGCCATTGCCAGGCACTTGCATGGCACAAATGTTACTTGCCGCTTGTCAGCCGAAGTCTCCAGATCTTGCTGCAGTTGAACATGGATTGCTGAAAAATCTGGGTAGTTGCGAATGGTGCTGAACATTGTGCAGTAATCAGTGAACATCCCCACCTCTGATCTCCCCACATTGTCAGGTTGATGTCAGCGCTGTAGCTATACTGGAACAGCTTGGCGAGGGGTGGACAAATTCTGGAGTGCAAGTCTTCTGTACTGTTCCTGGAATATTGTCAGGGACAGAACCTGTGCAGTATCCAGTGCCTCCAGCTGCTTCTAGATGTCACATGAAGTGAATTGAATGGCTGAAGACTGACATCTGTAATGTGGGGACCACTGAAGGAGGCCAATATGGATTAATCACTCAGCACTTCTGGCTGAAGTTTGCTGCAAATGTCTTATACTCACCTTTTACCCTGATAAAACTACACAAGGTACTAGTCAGACCACAGCTGGAATACTTTGAACAGTTTTGAGCTCCCTGTCTACAGAAAGATATACTGGCACTGGAGGCAATCCAGAGAAGGTTCACTAGACTGATGCCAGGTATAGAGGGGCTGTTTATGAAGAGAGGTTGAGTAGGTTGATTGGTTGTACTCATTGGAATTTAGAAGAGAGGTGATGTTGTTGAAACATTCAAGATTCTCAGAAGACAATAGGGTAACACAGAAATAGTAGGAACTGCAGATGCTGGAGAATCTGAGATAACAAGGTGTAGAGCTGGATGAACACAGCAGGCCAAGCATCTAGGCCCGAAACATCAGCTTTCCTGCTCCTCTGATGCTGCTTGGCCTGCTGTGTTCATCCAACTCTACACCTTGTTATCTCAGGGTAACACAGAAAGGTTGTTTCCTCTTGTAGAAGAGTCATAGGGCATAGTCGCAGAATAAGGGATCACACATTTAAGACAGAGTTGAGGAGGATTTTCTTTTCTCAGAAGGTAGTGAATCTGCAGAATTCTTCATTGCAGAGGGATGTCAAGGCTAGGTTGTTAAGTACATTCAAACTGAGATAGACAGATTTTTAATCAGTAGGGGTATCATGGGCTGTGGGGATAAGGCAAGAAAGTGCAGCTGAGCATTGTCAGATCTGCCATGATCTCGTTGAATGACAGTGCTGACTTGGGCTGAGTGGCCTACTTCTGCTCCTAAGTCTTATCATGTTATAATTCAAGCGTGGTCTGTCAAGTATATCTGTACACTAATTTTCCATTGATCTTTCAATGCATGCAGATTTAAGGAAATTGGCAAAAGAAGCATGACCAGAAACTTTTTCACACAGCAAGTGGCTAACATTTGGAATGTGCTGTCTGAGTATGTAGTGAAGGCAGTTTAAATCAAGCCATTCAAGAGGAAATTACATCATTGTCCAAAAAGGAAGAATGTGTAGGCATATAGGGAGAATGTACGTAACGGCAATAAGTGTATTGGTCATTTGGAGAGCCAGTGGATACATGACAAGCTAAATGGCTCCTGTACTGTAATAATTGTGTGATTTTGTACGTATTGCTTTTTCACTTAACTCTACTTGGATGTGATGAGTCCACTGTTTTCTCCACCTCCCTTCAGTTGTCTTCATTGCACACCTTTGTTACTTTACTTTCCATGGAAGATTTTGAATGTATTATTAAAAATTCCAATTGCCACTTTTATGCAATTTGGCAACCTGCTCGTTTTAAAATGTTTTTCAAAAAATCCTTTATCCTCATTGCTCTCTTTCAATGTTGCCTGCATATTTAACAATTAAACTGCTCACTGCATCTCAAAAATCTATGCAGATGAGAAATGGCAAGAATCCAAGCAGCGATCTTACAGCATTTCTCTCAGCATTTTTCCCCTATTTGTCACTATAGCAGCCACTAATACTAATTGAAAATCCAACTGCTTAAGCAGTCCTTTTTTTTCCGCTCTGGATTCCCATGACTTTTATTATTAATGAGATCTCTTTTGATACCTTGTTAAAGACTTTCCACAATAAACTATATCATTGACAATTTCACCATTTACTTGTAATATACTCAAAGTTGAGTTTTTGAGATACATCTGTCTTTGCCTTTCCCTTCTCCTTAGAGAAGTCCACTTCCTAGAATGATATCTGTTAGTTTTAGCTATTATTGTTAATCAACAATAGGTGTAAACTGCTTGGTTCATATTTTCTGTGCCTCTTAAAATCACAGATACTACATTTAATATTGATGCTCACTCTAGTTTTCTCGTCAACTACTGAAATTGTTCCAGAAATAGCCTCCGTAATTTTCATCACAAGGAGTTTGTTCGTGCTCAATCCACAATCAAGTACCTCCTCTACTTTGATTTTACAATTTGTGGATTATTAATTATGCATTTTCCACAACCATATTTGGCCATTTTGGAGTTAGGTTACAATCGCATTGAATGGTAGAACAGGCTAAGTTGGCTGAAACTCCTGGTCATATGCTTCTTGTTCATCTTTGGAGTCATCTTTGCACCCCACTATATTTTTTAGGCATATTTTCTTTTGATATTCATTTATATACTTCTCCTTGATGACCTTCGGTATATTGTTTCTCACCCTCTTATTCTTGTTATCCTTCATCTGGTGACAATTTATTTTGCATAGCAGTTGTTTGACCTTTGGAGAAATTGCTCCTTCAGACTGAATGGTCCCTTTCTATGCCTTAACTACTCTAGGATTCATTGAAAATTATATATTAGTTATAGCACACAAAAAAAGGCCACTTTTTGACCTATCATATCTGCACCAGCGAATGCTTACCTGCAACTGTTTCAAAACTAGCATGTATCAACCAGCCCAGCAAGCCTGGATCTTAATGCTGTTCCCCTGAAACCCAACAAATATGTTCTTTCCTACCTAATAGTCTTGGTGTTGAGCATTTCATTTGTACCAGCCGTTCCAAAGGCCACGAACATGTCTTCAATCATGTGCAAGTCTAGCCAGATCAACAGATAGTGTATTGCTTTAACTACATGACCTATTATATTTCTGTTGTCATGTATAGAGTTTCCTGACAAGACTTTTTGGATTAAAGGACTGAGTGCATGCCCTAGAGGAAACCAAGTAGCTTTTTTGGGATATCCCCAAAGAAACATTTAAAATGAAAAAAGTTGTTCAGTCTTTGCAATTAAAGTCATAGAGTCATACAGCACGGAAGCAAACCTTCTGGTCCAACCAGTCCATGTCAAACATAATCCCAAATTAAACTAGTCCCACCTGCCTACTCCTGGCCCATATCCTTCCAAACCTTTCCTATTCAATTACTTATCCAATGTTTAAATGTTGTAATTGTACCCACATCCACCACTTCCTCAGGAAGTTCCTTCCACATGCAAACCATCCTCTGTGTAAAAAACTTGCCCCTTGTGAAAACAGCGCAAAGCAGACATGTAAGTGATCTACAAAATAATTTGTTCAGTTGAGGATGGCATGAGGTGCATTAAAGTAATTTTTATGGCTTAAAGGTCCAAATAGTCAAAACGTAAAATAAGCCATTTGATGATACAACATCTCTTGGGAAATCAGCATGTGTTAACAGTTTTAGAATTGCTTCAACAGCATTTTGTAGCTCAACCACTTTCATGAAGAAAGAAAACCAGCAACAATGTATGTGGACATCACTTCCAAGTCATACACCATCCTAAATTAGCATGTGAAACTGACACTGGTCTATATTCTGGAATCTGCTGCCCAACACCATCATAAGAATTGTAATGACTGAAAATAGTAGTCTGCTGCTACCTTCTCAGGGAAACTACAAATGGGCACAAGTGTGGCCTTACCTCATTGTTACACTCCAAGAATAAAAACTAATCTCTAAACTCATCAAAATGGGATTACTTTTAATGATTACTATCATTTTTAGCTTTCAAAACATAATTTAATATATTTGCGTTAAGCATGATTTCATACACTTTAAATTGTTTATAAAGTTAAAGCAGAAATCCATACAATCATAGAATTACTACAGTATGGAAACAGGCCATTCAGCCCAACAGGTCCACACCATCCTTCTGAAGAGCATCCCACACAGTCCCATTCCCCTACCCTTTCCCTGTAACCCTATGTTTCCCATGGTTAGTCCACCTAACTTACACACCCCAGACACTATGGGCAATTTAGCATGGCCAATCCACTTAACTCGTATATCTTTAGACAGTGGGAGGAAACCTGAGCACCCGGAGGAAACCCATGCAGACACAGGGAGAATGCGCAAACTCTACACAGACAGTGGCCCAAGAGTGGGTCCCTGGTGCTGTGAAGCAGCAGTGCTAACCACTGAGCCACGATATATTGTGTTTAAGCAAACTTAAAAACTCATATAGGCTGACAAGTGTGGTATAACACATTTGACATCCATAGTGGCGAATTTATAATTTTGGTTATACCTTATCCACAGAGTTTTTCACCAGAACTGAGATAAAAATGGAAGGCCCTCAGGGTTTCATTTTACAGAATTCTAACATATGGCACACAAACAAATTGACCAAAGGAATATTAAAGCTTTTATGTTTCTGTGAAGATGTGTAGTACAGGAGAGATTATTAGGAGTTGGGTTTCATGGGTCAGATGGAAGAACAGTGAATTGAAAAACAAACAGGACCAAGTTTTGAAGATATAATTACATATTATTGTGGTGAAGCATTTCTTCAAAATGAAACAGACTCAAAACGTTTCTGGGAATGTTCTTTTTGGAAAGTACAGTTAACAAAGTGCCTAGTATCCAAGATATTTTATTGAATATTCAAAATAGAAGTTTCCATAAATCTATAACTATGAACATATTTACAAATTCAATTCTAAAAAAGTTGTGATTAAAGTATATAGTATTTGCACATTCTACTTAACAATGACAGAACCTGAAGGACACAATGCAAGACACAAAGTTGTGTTTAAATGCTTTGGATATTGTGCACCTTAAATATAAAATGGCGCACATGATTATTAGATTATGGCAGTAGTACAGTAAATTCAAAGATCTAACCAATATTACTACAATATTCTACATTAATTGTAGCATAAACATCTTCAAACAAAACAGTTAAAGATACCATCTAATTTAGAAAAGTAATTGGATTTTCTTGTATAATAGCTCACTATTTACTATTGCAAACTCTCAAAATTTGCATCTCATTTAACAAAAGGCATGATAAACTGTAATAAACTATTTCTCCCCACCCCCAAAATCTACAGCTAGCCATACAATACAGAAGTACAAATCCATCAATTGTAATTAGCATTCAATTTTTAAGTATATTGTTGCATTTAAGAATTGCTAAATCAACATTCCACATATACAAAATATTTAACCTGATTAACAGTATGCAAAATTAACTACATTAAGAATTACAAGAATGATTAATTCAATAGCCTTATAATACACAATATCCAGAATAAAGAAGTAATGAAAGCTGTCTATAAGGAAATAAACAGTAAAAAGAAAATGCTAACATAAAGTGTGAGCAAAAAAATAGCATTATGATTTTACATAGTCAGATACTACGCCAAGATGTAGGATAGGGGACTACAGAAATGAAAACATACTTTCCAAGTGTTCAACTGTTTATTCTGAATATACATCTGAATATCAAAGAGAATAACAAGGTGCACACTGACTAAGAAATGCACTGGGGCAGATGCCTCTGAAGGCCTTTTTTGCAGGGTATATAAAGATGTCTATTGATTGCTGCACCCACCAAAATGTTTGATGGTCCTCCTGTTGGCAGCACAGAAAAGTATAGAGATATGAAATTTGAAGAAAATGTGTAAGTCACAACCAAAATATGCAATTATTTCTCCTTGATGTTGGACTGAATTATATCAAATTTGACGGCAGTTGTTCATTGATAATCTGTAGCATGAAAGTGAATTGTTTTCCCACATTAGCACATTTCAGACAAGTTTCAAATTAAACTTGCTCAAGGTATTTATTGATTTAGAGGAGTAAGCTAATTGTTGAGTATTCTGATCCATCAATATCTGTTTTCTAAATAAAACCCACAATTGACAACTGATTAGGTTGTCTGCAAAGCTAATACGCAAACATTGACACAGACATTTGGAGCTGCATTTTCAACCCAGAGTTGTGAACTCAATGCCTGGATCATTTCCAAGTTCCAGTGCTGGGCCTTGCCATGTCTATGGTGTTGATTATTACTGCATTTCAAATTGAGTTAATAACATTTAAGAATATCAGATCCAGAAATTATGATGAGCTGTGCATCAAAATGTTCACAAACACGGATTTTTTTAAATATATGAAAAATATTAAAAGCTCTATAATCTATATTGTTCAAATACCAATCTAACCGGAAGTAGTAATTTACAGATTATAGATTTCTGAACATACTAAAAATCAGTTCAAGATATTTTCAAGATTCCTTTTGAGAGTACATGGGAGTATAAACTGTTGATCTGGCTGGGTTTGGTTTCTCAATCTCAAAATGTATTTTAATAAACTTGCAGCTTAGTTCAACAGGCCGGTTTGTCTTGGATGGTATCAAGCTTCTTAAGTGTCACTGGACCTGCACTCATCTAGACAAGTGGGGAGGTTTATAGAACACTTTTGACTGGTGCCTTAAAGATGGTGGACAAGAGATCAATTACTTGCCACAGAAATCCCAGCTTCTAACCTGCACTTGTAGCCATGATTCTTACATGGCTGGCCAAGTTCAGTTTCTAATCAATGGACAACCCCAGGATGTTAATGGTGAGGAATTCAGCGATGGTAATTCCATTGAATATCAAAGGAGGTGATTCATCTTCTGTTGTTCAAGATGATCATTGCCTGGCACCTGTGTAGTGCAACTGTTGCCATTTATCAGTTGAAGCCTTAATGTTGTTTGGGTTTTATGTGGACATGGGATGCTTCAGTATCTAAGGAACTGTGAATGGTGCTGAACGTTCGTGCAATCATCAACATATATTATAAATTCTGACTTTATGACAGATGGAATGAATGAAACAGTTTAAAATGGTTGGGCCTAGGGCATTGTTCTAAGCAATTCCTGTAGAACTGCCCTGGGACTGATGCATGCAGATAAACAAATTGAATCCAAACATTGAGAAAAAACCAGCAGCTTGATTCTGTTAATATCAAAATGATTTTAAAAAACAATCTTAAGAAGCCTACCTTCAAGAAGCTGCCCAATGCGTCTACCAGTATTCCATAATACTGCTACAATTTTAGACAAAAATGAAAATGTTAGCATAGGCAAAATTTCAGCATTGTTGTTATTCCATTTAATTTTAAAGACAAGAAATGCTATTTGCTCAATACTGTGAGGAATTTCTTCCAATATGGCCTATTCTATCCAGTTCTAACATTCACATTAATATTTCATTAAAATTATGACTACATATTTATTAGCAGTCACAGCTACGCAATACAAGATACTAAATATAATTTTGTTCAACATTTGTATTGACAAATTTGAATGCAATAAACTATATAGCTTTACAAAGCACAAACACTTCACAGTTCTAAAATCTAAAAGGTGATAAGGCACACAGGAAGGGTGAACACTACTGGGTAAGAAATAGAGACTGATTCTTTATATGGGGTAGGGGAATCTTGTCGGAGATTTTAGGAATATCTGTCTCAGGCAACTACTGGCTGTTTGTTTCAAAATGAAACAAATAATATGTTATTCGTAATACAAAGAATAGTGCAGCACAGGAACAGGCCCTTTGGCCCACCAAGCCTGTGCTTGCACAGGTAATGATGAATTATAAAATTTAGCTTTCCTTTGCAGCACTTTATGACTGTTATGTATATCTTATGAGCTCAAAGAACATTCGTTATTGATACAAAAGCATTAAATATAATACTAAGCACAACTTACAAATTATTATTGACATTGTTCGATACAATATACAGTGTCAATTTGTGATCAAATTCAGTATCTTGGCAATGTTACTCTAAAAGATCAACATTTATTCAGTCCACCTCATTCAACAACAGGTCCAGATATCAGAAATCTTTATAGTAAACCATTTTCTGATGTTGTGACTCCATTAGCATGACAGAGTCCTTGAAACGATACTTCGTCCACTTTCCAGTCAAAGCTTTGTCAATATTCATTCTATGTCAACAACTAAATCATTCTTTTTTGTAGGATCTCGCCTTTCAATTATCGATTCTCTAGTGCCAGACTTTAACTTTAACTGTAACATTCACTTTTTAATGTAGAAGACCCCTGTTGGCTGCAGTGACTCTCATCTTGGGTTGTGGTGTGGAAGAAGAAATGAAGAGCTGTGGTTATTCCTGCTGAAAAGTGTGTAACTGCCAAATGACAGTTCTTCATAAACTGCAATGTTCCACTGAAAGAAAATATATCCAGAATCTCTCAAATAATTAATAAAGTACTTACTGCTGCTCAGGGAACAGCAAATGGTTTTCAGAGGAGAATGAATATTGCAATAGCTTTTAAAAAAAATTGATGTTTTAGTGTCTATTAACTGTCACCAAAATCTGATTACTCATTATTTTATACTTCTATCTTATTAGTTGTTATTCAATGTTCAACTGAGCAATATATAAACTGAGAAATTAGACTAGTCCGCCAGGGGTGAAATGCCTTTAATTTAACCTTAAGCAGTATGTAAGCCATAGAAATGGCATGCTTTTGTATTATATTGTGATTAAAAACTATTGGGAATTCCTGAAGGAGACAGTAAAATTAGAAATTTGATATTGGTAATTGTGAATCAGTTGGGAGTACCCTTAACTCTTAAGTCAAAATGTTCTGGATTCAAGACTCACTCGAGAGACTTGACCATACACATCAGTGCAGTACTATGGGAATACTGACAGAGGGGCTGTCTTTTGGATGAGCGGATAAACACAGGCATGTCTGTTCTCAGTTGGATGTAAAAGATCCTACTGTACTACTTCAAAAAAGGGCAGAGGTGTCATTTCTGGTATTGGGATAAATTTTTTTCTAACCACTACCACTGGAGAACTACAGTTTGTGAGAACTTACTTTCACAAATTTGCTCATTTATATTACAATAGTAAGTATGCTTGCAAAGAGATTGTAATGTGCTGAGTTCATGAGAAATAGTTTTTAAAGGTTAATCAGACTTGCGTTAAAGAAGGTAAGCCAGCAACTGATATCTATTTTAATTTTCATGGGGAATATTACAAAGTTTCACAGGCAAAGGGAATGGCTCTAAGTGATGAGATATGCTTAAATTATTTTTACCGGAGAAAGGTTATAACGGAAGTCATATTCAAAGTCTTCAAAATATAATTGACGTTTACATTACACGCTGTTTGACTTTTCTGTCCTCATTAGAGTACGGTAAATGTGGATCAGTTTCCAAGCCGGAGTTAATTCCTTCAAAAAGCTGCATTTGCAAGGGAATGTGACAGAAAGAAAAATGTGAAGGCCTGAACTTGAACTCCAGAAAAAGAAGGTGGCAAGGGAGATAAAGAAAGAGAATTTCAAAGCATGTAAGAATTCAGACAATGTTTTGTATTTCTTCACAGCAGTGCAGGGAGAAGGTTAATGATCTAGCGTACTTAGAAAGGGTAGTTGCCAACATCCTCTCTACTACCTCATGCCACCATTCACTCTAACTCTGCTATTGACACTAACATTACCAAGGCTCATGGATTATAGCTCAAAAACATGTAGCGATATTGTCCTGAAGACAAAGTTGTCTGCAAGCCCAAAGAAGCAAGCAGGGAGCTGTTGCCAATCTGACTTTCATGTCAAGAATTAGCACTATCTAGGTTTTCAGGGAAGGTGAGGAGAATTGGGAGCTGCATCGAAGTGAGATGACTTTAGCTAATAATGAGATGCAAATACATGGAAATAAGGTAGTTGCCACTCATTAGTGAGGTTCAGAACTCTTGTTAAAACCCTACGGGGAAAATGAGATTTTGTTTTCCGTTTTCACTGGGTTTTGCCAACTTTCTTGCCATCGCTCATGCTGCTCAAAATTTGCCAGGGATAAAGAAATGTTATTTGACAGGCGAGATAAGAAGGTGTAGAGCCGGATGAACACAGCAGGCCGAGCAGCACCACTGGAGCAGGAAGGCTGACGTTTCAGGCCTAGACCCTTGATTAAAAAAGTTAGAAACGATATTTGAGAATTTGAGAACTGTAATAACAATGGGATAATTTTGAAACAGCATCTCAATAGCATCCTGGAGAATGGGAAAGTTTCAAAAATAAGAAAAAAGTGATGATTCTGGCAGATTAGTACAATATATCACTCAACCAACGAGGAGACAGCAGATCTCCATTTGTAAATCCACAATCAAAATGGCTGAATAGAAGATTCTGGTATTGGGGAGGAGACAGATAGTAGAAGTTATTCTGGTAAGTAAAAATAATACAATGGAGAATAAAATTGAAGTAAAGAGACCAGTACACTTTCAGTTGTAGTACAGGGCATATAAGAGCAAATTGCAGGAAGTGCAAGTTCAATCAAAGGCATTTGACACATAAGGAGACTTCTGAAATAACAGTAACATTAAAACAAAAAGAAAGTATTTTAAAAAAAGTAGAAATAGTACATTGCAAAGTGTTGTTTCAAAACCCAGTAGAATGGTGGATATGACTCAGGATAGTCAAGGGGATTCTTCCCTAGATACTGATGAGGTGGATCAGGTTACTAAAGGCTGTAGAGGTCCCAAGAGAGAAGAATTTCATTTGCTGTCTAAAAAGACAAGTAAACAAATTAATATTTTGAGAAATAGTTGGACAGTCAGTCAATCATTGATGTAGCTAATGATATGATTTGGTCTTTCAATTGGTTTGGAAAGATATTATTAGGGGCTTTTAGAAAGACAATTGCCTAGTGGTATTATTATTGCATGATTAATCCAGAAACTCGGCTAATGTTCTTTGAACCTTGGGCAGGGTTCAATTCCAGCAATGGCAAATGGTGGAATTTGAATTCAAAAAAGAATCAGGATTTAAGGGTCTAACGATGACCATAAAACCATTGTCAGAAAAACCCATCTGCTTTACTAATGTCCTTCAGAGAAGGAAATCTGCCATCCTTACTTGGTCTGGCCTACATGTGATTCCAGATCCACAGCAATGTGGTTGACTCTTGACTACCCTCTGGGCGATTAGGGGTGGGGATTAAATGCTGGCCTAGACAGAGATGTCCACATTCCATGAGTGAATAAAAAAATACTAATGATATATATGAACCTGTTTTCTTGTATAAATTCAATTTACAAAATGACTTAGTAATCAGGCTTGTTACTGTGGGAAATGTTCCTAGTTTACCTATTAATGGGGTAGATTTAATGCTGGGTAATAATTTGGGAGGTATTAAGGTATTGCACCTGTAAGAGTTTTGAGAAAACTGAAGTGACAGAAACTGAAATTTTGCAAGAACAACGTTCTGAATTGTTTGCAAATTATGGAGTAATTCAGCCCAACCTCAAAAGAGTGGTCAAAAGAGTGGATGGAATGAAATGGAATTAATCGAGATGGTGGATTATATGGGACTTCCCTTGGGAATTTGAAAAAAAGTAAAATTCTCAAAAATAGAGAAGCTGAATTAGTTAGGTGAACTTCTTTGATTGTAGCCTAGCAGGCAGATCCTGGTTTGTGGAGATAATCTCAGATAGTATATTTTGAAAAAGAATCAGAAAGGATCCCTGAGAATTATCTGAAAAAAAAATGACATGGAGAAGAAAGTGGAGACTTCCTCACAAACAAGCAAATGAAGGTTGGATAGCAGTCGATCAAGTTGTTATTCTTTTGCGAGTTTCCCCGCAGTGAAATTTTAAAACTTGTTCATGAGATTCTGATGGTCACTGGCCATGACTAAATAGTAATTCAGGAACAAGAAAGACTCAGGTTAAAATGGTGAAGCACTTTTATTGGTCAGGTTTGGAGATATGGTTGAAGTCTGCAAGACAGACAATGCTCATCGATTTGTCAGGAAGCCCCAGTTAAACCAACTATATTGGTTGTATTTCCTAGGTTTGATGATCTATTCAGTATGGTTCTAGCAGCTTGTATGTGATCGCCACACAAATCTAAACAGCGGCATCAATATCTTTCAATCATTATGGATTTGTCTATCCAATTTCCAGAGGCAAGTCTTTAAAAAAAAACATAAAGGAAGTAATCAAAAGATTAATTCAGTTTTTCACCAGGCCTGGGATATTGAGAGAGGTTAGTTTTATCAGAGATTAAGTTG